GAAGCTCTGAGAGGCTTCTAAGCATTACAGGAAATAAATATTTCATTTTATAAAACTGTTTGTAAAATAATTTATAAAATCCAAGCTATTAAAAAGGAAATATTAGAAAAGAAATTGAGTTTCTCGTCCCGACTTTAAATTAGTAAAAGATATTTTAAGTCGCATCTTTCTGACGATACAAAGAGGTCAGATATAAGATATTGTATCTCGTCTTTCCTATCGGAGTAATCATAAAAGAGACGAAATATTAAGGAACTGGTCGTAAATGATATAAAGAAGAATGTACGAGTAAGTGATGTCGACTCATTCACACAAACAGAAAGACTGTTTTTATTACAGTACTTGTCATAATGTTCCCGAATGGTTGAGCTTTTACGGCTTTTTAAGCTAAAGCTTGGTTTTATTTTGAAATTTTTCGTTCATCTGTCGCATGTCGCATTAAAGCCGGACACAAACAGGGATAAAGGGTACAATAAGTAGAGCTTGGATTGACTCTCATAAACGGACAGTGTATATTAAATAAATTTTGTACTAGCTTTTTACATTAATCTATAACTTAATTATTATATTATATATATCATCTTTTTACTTTCAATCAAGTGACTAACACAAGCTTTCAGACAATTTCATTTCAATGAATAATATTCTAAAAAAAATGTTGTTTAATTTTAAGCCGTACTCTTTTTGTGATTTATGAAAAATATATATGTTTATTATCATTCTGTTCAGAGCTAAAAATAAATCACAACTTACTCCACAATATTAGGGTTTGTTAGTTGGTTAAAGCAGTTTTTTCGGATTTCTTCTATGTATATGTACGCGTTGGACCAGAATGGCTTAAAGATGTGTCACTTTAACGAAATATACCACAGGAATAGAATAAACAGAAGTTTTTTTTACAAAGAACTAATTAGTTATATGAAAGCTTGCAAAGTTATTACGAAGTCAAGCCGTGAAATTGAAAACTGTCTCATTTTAAAAATTACATAAAAAATCCTCATTTCTATATAAGGATTACATTAATTTGATTTCGGCTTATTTTTAAGCAGATTTTAATATGAACCTATATATACATATTTGGCGTCTACTGACCTCGATTCAGATTATCCATGATTTTATTAGTAATTCTAATATCGAATTTACAAAAGCAATTCTGCGTTATTACTTTGTTTTCTATACAGGGTGACTGGTGAATTACTATCGATACTTGAGGACGTGATTTTGACGATCATATATGACAAAATTAAAATTAATATAACATAAATATTAATAAACTTCTAAGTAAAGTTAACCAAAACTTATGTAATTAATTACGCATCGTGTGAACACCCTACAGATTAGGTATACACACACACGCGTGCGGCGGCGTGGCACTTGGAACGTGTCCACACTTTATTTATTTATACGGAAATTTGGTCAAAAATTAAGTACCTATTTTTTTTCCATAATTCGAATGAGAATCATGTACTGAGTATTCTCCTTAAATATTGATAGTAATTCACCAGTCATCCTGTATAAATAGTATACAATAATTAAGTTCTTTGGTGAACGAAAAGTAAAAGCAAAACGTATTTTAATGATTTTTAATACATATAGCTTTATACAAGAAAAAAAGTATTTTAACTTAAAATATAATACTTATATTCTAATGGTTTTGAGAAGTTAGTCTTCAATTTCTAAAGTATCAGTTATATTTTAACATCTAATACATATTTAGTTAAACATAGTTACATTAAAATCCTGTTTGATACGATGTACATATGCACATTTTAGCTAATTTTGACATATAAAGATAAAAATGAAGTTTTTGTTATAAATTATTGTTATTTTATTATTTTTAAAACTATATACTGCCGACGTTTCAGTTACTTAGCAGCAACCATGAAAAGGGCGGAGGAGATATAATATTAATTTCTTTTAAATGAATACTCGAGAAAGTCTTACATCTCATTTTCTTATAGTTATTTTTAAATCATTTGAATATATTTTTGGTTTAACAAACAGTATATACTGAAGCCTCTCTCGTGTAGTAATAAAATAAAACGATATTATAGACTAATGATACTATTTAGGCGAACGAATCCATAGTCAGAGTATTCGATGTATAAACGGCCAAAATTATTTAGTTATCAAGCTAAAAGCTTTCTCATTAATTCAACTTCGTGAGCCAATGTTATAATTTATTCACTGCCATCAAGAAATCTATTTATTAGTTTCGAGAGATCATTTACAATGAATTATTATTATTCCTTGTAATATGGATATTCTTCTTCTTCCTGGCAATTTCCCAGCTATAGCCAGGGTCTGCCTTACATGTTGTGAATAGTTTTGGCTAATTGTTTTTACGACTGGTTATCTGCCTGACATCAACCCTATTTGGAAATATATTAATCAGGGATGTCTAAATACACTTAAAAAGTACATATGACTCGGAAAAATCACATTGGTACGTGCCAGGATCGAACCCGCGACCTCATGCATGAGAGGAGGGCCTTTTAACAACTAGGCTACCACTGACTTTTTTTCGAGAAATCTATATATTAGGTTCGAAAGGTCATTTACAATGAATTATTCCTTGTAATATGTATAATGTATATTTTTTTTGATAATAACGGGAAAGTTGATTAAAATGTTCTTGATCATTTGAAGAATTCGTTTCATCAGATAGTAACGTATATTTTTTAAATACTTTTTGAAGAAGTAACTTTATATTTATTTACAAATAACAGAAGTATAAATGTGTATAATTTTATAGTTATGAGATCTAAGATTTCCGCGATTTTTTTTCATTTAAATGAAACTAATACTTTTCGGATACACTACGTGAATTATTTTTGTAAAAAACTACATTCCCACGACGTTTCGGCTACTTTACATCAACCGTGATCACGGAATCACAAAAAATATTAGTTTCATAAAATTTTTATGTGGTCTTCAAAAAACAATATACATTTTACGTAATATAGTGAAACAAAGCGGAATACTGCAAAAGGCGTATTAAAAGCGCTTAAAGCTGACCTTGAGGCACTCCATTTTTCTAGCTGCAGCGCTTTTTGATACAATGTTCTATCAAAGCCTCTCAAGCTAAGTAGATTGTAGATGTCCCAGTTCTGTTTGCATCCATTAAACTTTGTTTATAACAAATTTTGAGGCTATTTAATCCTAAACACACTTATGTATGAAAGAATTAAATTAGAACTACAAACATTATGTATTTTTCCTATTTTATTTTGTTCGTAAAGAATTTATTACGCTAATTCGATCGTTTTAATTTTCTATTGTAATTATAATGTTCCTCGACTAAATAATAATTGTAGTTCTTCTTCTTCCACCTGGTAATTTCCCATGTATAGCCAGGGTCTGCCTTACATGTTGTGAATAGTTTTGGCTATTTGTTTTTACGACCGGCCCGTCTGCCTGACATCAACCCTCTTTGGGAATGCATTAATCAGTGATGTCTAAATACTCTTAGAAAGTACATATGACTCGGAAAAATCACATTGGTACTTCCCCGGGCTAGGATCAAACCCGCACCCTCGGCAACGAGAGGCGGGCCCTTTAACCACTAGGCCACCACTGACTTATTAATAATTATTATTGTAGTTATTACTAAATATTCGCTAAATTAGATAGTGTGCAAATACTTATATTTTGTTTGTATTTAACACATTGAGAGTATATAAACATTTTATTAGAGACCCTTCCTTCCACGTGCGGGAACGAAATAATTTAGGTTCACTAATCTTGAAGCGGGTAACTAGTTAGGAGATTAATTGACTCAGATCAAACGAGGAAATTACTTCAGAAAGAAATACTCTGTCACTGTTATTTATGGACCGAAATAAAATAGATTAAATAAACGAGTTAAATTATAGAAAAAGATTTATAAGACATTTACTTTATTTTAATAATATATTGATAAGAATCACGTGTTAAATATAACAAAATAATTGTCAAATTTGAAACAAAATGTATAAAAGAAAATCGGAATTATCAATTCTTTTATTTCCCAAAAGATTTTCAAGCTTTTTGTTATGTTTAGCTCAGTTTTAAGCAACATATGCATACAACCTAAATCTAGTTTGGTTATCAAAATTAGATTTTGCTGTTGTGAATACTGATACATTTTTATGAACGCAAATAGTGTAAGCTAAATAAAGTACGATAAAGAGATAACTAATGACAAAAGATTAAAATTTTAATGAGAGGGCTAAATAGGGTTTTTACTGAAATGCTTTTACAATCTAAAACTACGTCTCTACTTACCATCATCTATACGAGCTACAGAATATGATACTAGCAGTTATTTGTATAGCATAAAAATATATAAAAAATGCTATAAAGAATTATAAATATATATATATATATATATATATATATATATATATATATATAATACTAACTTAAACGTAGCCTAATTGATATTCCACGCGGACAATGTCACAGGAAAAAGCAGTTTAACAATATATGTGTACATATATATATATATCTTCTCCTTAAAATGATTTTTTTATATTTCTGTATGTAAAAACTTAGTATCGTAAGTATATTCATATGAATGAACCTAATAAATCAATATAATATTATTTTTATCTCAAACGCCGCTCCCTCGTTGGAGATAAAATAAGAAATATTATTCTTCTCGTTTTATGATTGAAAATACGATAACTAAATTATTCAAATCTATTTTCATGAAATTTACTCAGGTTCATGGCGATGTGAAATATGGATACCCAATATGAATATAAACTTTTCTTGTGCCGATTCAAATGATATTTATAAGGTAAGAGTGAAATTTAGGTAGTAATTATATTTTTAACCTTATTCATAGTAGTAATGTAGTTTAATTTACGATTGATTTTCAAATTATTAATTGAATTTAAAATGATTATGACAATTACAATTTAAATAAAACCTTTTTTACTTTACTTTACCTTTTAACCTTATTTTTGGTATTATCAAATTACCCAACTTTTTTATTGCGTTTGTTTGATAAATCAATGTCACGTACCAGGGCCGCATATTACAGTAAAAGGTAGCTCGAACGTGAGGTGCATGAGTTTGTAGCTGATATTGATCTCCCTTTGACATATGGGCGCCTGGTACATGTAAAAAATAACCATCATCTATTTATGAAAGTAAAAAAAACTTATGTTAAAAAGTTAAGTTAAAAATATACCTTCCAGGATAGAATTTATGTTTATTTCTTTACCTAAATTTGGACTTTCACATACAAACATTTTTCTCTTATAACAAAATGATTCAAAAACTCTAGCGAGAGATAGTATAACTTGTAGTATACTACTTATAAGTATTTATTTAGTTTTGGTCACTAAGAGCAGTTTGAAAATATAACATCCCTCTAACTTTCTCATTGATAATAATCTGCGAATGGCCATCTGATAATATCAAGCCGGCGAGGTCAAAGGTCATCTTATTCTCTTAAATTCTGCCATCCATTCTATAAGCTAAATATTGAGAAGAAGATTCCTCATATAAATTGACATGGCTTGTTTAATAGGTCTGTAAAGCAAGTTATAAATCCCACTAATAAAAATGTCTACAATAGCTAATCAAATCTAATCAAATCAAATCAAATCTAATCAAATCAAATCTCCAAAGTTTGTTTTGTGATGTCCACTCGATTATAATGAGCTATAATTATGTATGCATGCAAAGATGAAACATCGCATACTATTTGCATAATGCCTTATTATTTATACATGAGTCCGGGAGTTTATGTAGTATATATTAAAACACAATGTTTGCTTATTTTTCGCTGCTTTTTATATATCTTATATTTTTTTGGCTAATATTATATTTAAGAATCTATTTCAGCGTTTAATATTATTAGTTTCTTATACAGATGAAATTACTATATTACCAACTTGGCATCTTATGATACACTTATAAAATGTATATTTAATACTTGTTTTTACCCACGACTTTGTCCGCGTTAGTTTCGTCATTAGTAATATACATATGTATAGCTGACCGGGCGAACTCTATTCCAAACTAGAGGCCGTAAATAACCTGATATTGGAGTATATTCAGTTATTTTTGTTTCGGTCGAACAGAATTTAATATCATATGTCCATCTCCTGGTTCAACCACAGCTATTCTAGAGTTATAAATAACAAACACAAATTTCTTTTGTATATAAAGATTTCATTAAAATTGTATATTTCTTATATTTTTATATACTTGAATTAATTAATTTTAAACATGAAAACTCCGATATTATTACTAATATATTGAATTATTGATTTAGGTAGTCATAAAATATATAAAAATGCTCTAATTTTGAATATCTTAAACACTGAAGTCAATCTAGTATACAAAATTTAGGATACTAAATAAAAAACTAATTTCTTCCATAATGAATGATTGACATTATATTCTACAGCTTTTAATACTTTCGAAACTAATTACGTATATAATAAAATTTACATTACTGTTTTTTTCCAATATATTTACGTTTGAGAATTCACAACTAAAATTCCCTGTTCCCTTACAACTAAATGCTTAGAAGTTTTTGTATAATCTTGTAGTTCGGTCAGCACACGCTGAGCTCGACTGAAAGCCTCCAAAGTCCACGGTTTACAAGTCACTTTGGATACAGTAACGTGTTTGATATCGATTTTTTTAAAACGTGCTGAGAATTTAACACCAAGTAAGTTTGAATAGCATTGAAGACCGTGGCAACGATAAAACTATTTATATTAGATTTAAAGAAAACTACTAACAAAAGGTTATTCTGTTATTCAGTATTACCTGCGCTCTTATCAAAAATTTATAATATTTATAGTTCTTAGAATCGGAAATAGATTAAGGTTTAAACAAGAAATAATAGATGATAATTATTACATACAAATTAACAGAATATATAGAGCGATACTCCCGGTTATCCAACTCCAAAAGTTACCTTGAGAATACATATAAAATTACAATTCTTGCAATAATATTTTTAATATTAAAGCATTACTGAGTGAATATTTAAATCAGAATATATAGAATGATATATTTTGAGCCTATTGACTCCGGAATATATACATATATCGCTTCATCTTCATCAACTACGCTATCGTTATTTTTTTACATGAACTGGAGTCGGTGTTTTAATTAATAAAATGATAATAATCATTCCTTGATCATGATAAAATTTTATTTGAACAAACAGGAAATAAAAACTAATACAAGCGGAGTCAATTTAAGTATGTGCTAAAATAATATAATATTAAGATAAGAAAAGGACTGGTCTTTCGTTTCAATAACTTTGAAAACTCTACGTTAAAGAAAACATCAAAAATATATTTATTGCGAATAAATATGTTAGCGACACTAAAATCTTTTTTACATATTTTTTTTGTATAGGAAGATATTTTAAGGCACATTCGGGTTCTTAATTTCTACTTACTTATCAATTTTACAATGTTCAATATGTGAGTTAAGGGCTGACGTAGGCATTATTACAATAACTTCATACAACATAGCCTGAATATTTCTGTTTTGATACCTGAAAGTACTTTTGTTATATTGTGATTTTGTAACAAGATAAGTTTTACGAAGGTGACATGATGGGTGTGTCAAGATATATGTAATGTACAATGACCAACAGCTATAAAGCTTTTAGAGCAAGATCCCAGAACTGCCAGACATCATGTATTTTCTGACAGATTAAATGTGGGCTATTAAGTAGCTTTAGTATGTACTATGATCGTATCCCTACCTCCTGGCTTGATCAAACGGCTAATTTCTAAGTATCAGTTGATCAAGGTACATAAAAACGTTACTCTACGTAATAAACTATATAAATATAGTTTTTATTTAATTTTTATCTTCTCTTTTAAACTAATATCACTATTTTAATTATTATTTATTCATTGGAAACTTATGTAACAAAATAATAACTTAAACGATTTTAGCAAAAACCAGTCAAGAAGAAACATTATTGACCTTACAATTTCAACAAGTCTTATAAGTTTGCCCATAATGTTAGGATTCATTAATTTTATTGTTTTAATTTACTGTGATTTATAAGAACTTAAGTGAACTTTCTCTGTATATATTATTTTATTTCACGTGGCTTAAACATTATATCATAAAAAGAATAATCATTAATTATACATCTTTATTGTCCTATTTAAATAAATATATGCTTATAAAACATCACGATGATTGGTTTAAGATACCTGATATACCTATCAATATCCTTTTACATATTTATTCAATTCTGAGCTACAAATTAAATCAAAGATATTTCTATTTTTATTTTTAATCTTCCGTATTATGATTTGCTTATCCAATAAAACTTTGCATTCTTCAAAGAGTAATATTGTCATGTCAAAAGTAATATTGAATATAGTAATATTTCAAGCAATGCACAGGCATATGTATAGTTTTTAAAATACTAATAATAATCATTAAATAATTCGCTCTTACCATTTGTTATCAAATCAATTGATTAGTCCTAAGATTTATCGCTTAACAATTTACAAAATAATTTCTTGATAAATAAAGTTACATGGAAATAGATCGTCTGGACTTTAACATTGAAAAAATAATACGAATTCTCACCAAAGAGTCAATTTATATTTACGAATTTCATATGAAAAAAGCAATCATTTTAATTTTACCGAGTAAGAAGTTTATGAACATATACTTTACATATATAATGATGATATAAAAGTGAATTTCATAAAGAACGAACATATTGTACATATTTATTTCAGAAACAGACTCCCAATGTATCTGTTAATTAATATATTCTCAGTTGAAGTTAATTTGGATTTACTATGATTATTCATAGTTATATTTATGAAAAAATTTCTACTTGATAAGCCTCAAAATTCTTTTGATTTACTTTTAAATAAAAATGTATTTTTCTTACAACTTTACAAAAATGAAGGACGGACACGAATACTATGATAATAACACCCTTTTAGTAAGAAATTATTCTTATATTGTAAGCTCAGAACATTTCTCAACCTGTATCATATTAGATTATTAATATCAATTTTCTTTTATTCTCAATAGAGTTGAAATCACGTAATATAAAAAATCTCATTAATTTTAAGATATAAATTTCATTTAATCCACTTTGAATTCGCTTCCTCTCTTATAGAGATAAAGTGTTAAAGTTTAAACACCGTAATTCTGATAATAAATTGTTAGGTAACCACTAAAAGTACCGGATACCGTCTACACTCTGACAAAATTAACTTTGAAGTTGAACTAACGCTCCCATAGATCGACTTTAGAACGACTAGTTTACCAACTACAAACAAGTAACTGTTTACAGCTGTAATTACGTTTTCCTTTACTACAAGAGACAGTTCCTGCTGAATTTCAAGTTTTTAAGTGAGAAAGTACTCTCGGTTTGATTTCGTAAGCGTAAATATTTTAAATATAACTATTCAACAAACGGTTTAAGTTAAAACAATGAAGGGTCTAGAGTTATCCGTAAATATGTAGTGGATGTAGTTAAATTTTGGACCACAGAACTAGAAATTTGAAATGTGGTTAAACGATGCTCATTTTTTTATATGTTATGACTTCATTCGCACTGGATTGATGGAATATTTTTATTTAGTAGACAAATCTTGAGTATTTCGTGGAGTAAACACGAAGGAGTGACGCTCACATTAAATTAAGAGGACATCTAAATTTAAATCACTTTAAACGCCTTATCTTTGTATGAAATTTATGTAGATGATTGTCATTTAAGGAGTAGTAGATATCAATAATAATTGATTGATTTTGAACCTGTAACCAAACCAGTGATGCTTTATAGGAAACAGTCAGGAAATCAAATTAACAACAAAGTGTTTCATAAGGTCCTATAGCTTAAAAGAATATTTACTTTTACTTGAAATTATAAACTAATAGTTGCTGCCCGCGACTTCATCTGCGTTACTTTCAGAATAAGAAATACATAGCTGTCTAAGCGAACTCTTTTTCTCTTTAAAGACAGTAAGTAAAAAAAATTGGATTTGATAAACTTATTTTTTTCTTTTACAATCGGATGAAAAGTAT